TGATTTGGGAGATTTTTGAGGCCGGCGGTTTGCCTTGCACCCCTTCTGCGCGCGCGCACGCACGCACACACACACAGGCACACGCGCGCGCAAACACACACACACACACACACACACATGCACACCCCGCCCCCAAAATTCCGGTTTTCGGCCGCGGGTGGGTGGGGAGAGGTGGAAGCAAAGGCTGTGCAGACAATGGAGAGAGGAAAAGTGAGTGCCAGGGCTCAGCGTCTACCTAGCCCGGGGCTGCCGGGAGCCGCGAAGGGGACTCGACGGCCCCAGCCCCGGGGCGGGGCCGCCCCCGCCTCCAGCTGTGCTCTGGGGCCGTTTTGAGGCTCTCCTCTGATTCCCCTTTCCTCCTTTCCTCGCTTCCCCCGTCTCGATTTTTTTCCCCCTGAACTTTCTTCTCTCTCTCGGTCTCTCCGGCTCCTGCCCACTGCCCCCACCCTTCACTCCCCCTCAGTGGACCTGAAGGAACCAGTGACTTTTTCCTTCACCAAGTGGGAGTTATCCACATCAAGCATTTCACAACGACACATCAAGAAAAGTAGGCAGGTTCAAGTCAACCATGAAATGGTCACTTTTTAACCCCGTCCTGTCCTCATTAGGGAAATGCTCAAACACAGTCCGTTTTCAAAGAGCGCTCTTAATGAGGCGAGCTTGCCAAGTCTACCAGCTGCAGCCCCCGTAAACCAAGAGCCCAAAGAAGAAAGGCGCTGGGGAAGGAGGGGGGCGGGGAGTTGAGGAGGCCAGGGGCTGGAGGGGGAGCGTTGGATCTGGGAAGACAGGTAAAGTCGGGGAAATTTAGAGAACCCTCCCGAGTTAACCCTTTGCGGCACGCATCGCCGCGAGCGGCCTCCCCGCTCCCCCGGAGGCAAATCCTCTAGTCAGCGTTCTGACAACGTTAATTTCCTTTGTGTGGGTCATTTCTTCTTTTTGAAAAGCCAGGATAAAGTTGACAGTCTTTATAGATGAAAGAAATGAGGTGACAGTCCGGGTTAATCCAAATAAATACTCATTTCTCTCTCAGAAATTCTGAGGCGATCTCATCCTAGATTAAAAAAAAAAATCCCCAAAGCATCACTTTGTTTTGCACATTATGCTGCATCCCTTTTCCCACCCTCATACCAGAGTCTGTGGGGAGGGGGGCGGGGAAGCGCTACTGATAATACCAGCTTTAACTACTGGAGTTTCCCTTTGAACAAATATTCAATTTAACCGGAGTTAATTTACCATAAAAGACATTCCCCTTGGCACGAATGCACTCCTGTCCTTGAACACACCTCTTTGAATGCCTGGACTCTTACAGAAGCCATTATTTCGGGGTCTCTTTAAAAATCAAGCGCCCATCTCTCTTTCTCTCCCTCCCTCCCTTCTTCCCTCCCTCCTCACCACACCACCCCCAGTGAAATCCTGGCACCCAGAGAGCGCTCCTTTCAGCCAGAGATCCCAGAACCAGCCGCTGTCCCCTGGCAAAAGAGGCCCAGAGCTGAGCAAGTGTGTGCAGACATTGCTACCCCTCCTCTTTTATTGGTTTCCCTTACCAACAGAAACACGGTATCCCGTTTGCCACCAAAACTAGGTTGTATCCAAAAGTTTTTCACAAGCTTAAAAGAGAAAAAAGAAAATTTGACAACTCTCACACAGAAGAGCCCACCAAAGCCGCAGCAGCGCCAGGGGTGAAGAAACAGCGACAGACCCAGGTAAGACCCCAGTGTAGTGAAGATGTCTGGGGCCGCCCAGGCCCATCACTGAGGGGTTCCAATCTCTCCATGTTTGTAGGGCACTTATGTTTGGGCACAGCTGGACGAGCCTGGAGGAGGCTTGGTAGTTTGGGGTTTGGATTTGGTTCCAAGAAAAAAGGAAAATAAGAAAGGAGTAATGATGAGATGGGGGGAAACTAAAAGGAAGAAAATGAACAACAGAGACATGCAGAGCAGCTTATGGGATGCTCAGTTTATGTGGCTTTGACTGTCCTCTCAGGCCTTGGAGCCACGGGCGGAGGGCTGACGGCACCCCCACTCCTCCCCCAGAACGCTGCTTCTTGTACAGTCAAATGCCAAGGTCACTGCAGGTCTTCCCAGGATGAACTCTAAGAAAGCCTTTTGTAAAGAGGGGCTGATGGATTTGGGTGTGTGGAACATCTGGCTGCTCTCACCACAACACTTGACCACTATCTATGGTTTCAGAAATGCCAATCTTTTAAATTCCAGGTAGAAGAGTAGAGAGGAGAAAGTGAGAAAGTACACACAGTATTTTATTCACTTTCTCTTTTCCCCAGCATTTCTGCGCTATGGTATTAAGAGTGGCTTTAACATATTTTTGAAAAGCTTCTAATACTACCAAAGTGGGCCAAACACTTTTTAGACTGGTACCTACCTCCCTAAACTTTCTTTTCTCTCTCTCTCCCTCTCTCTCTCTCTCTCTCTCTCTCTCTCTCTCTCTCTCACTGAAAGGGTTAAGACAGGCCACTTTTATTCACCCCTAAATCTGGCTGGAGGAGCCAGAAAGAAGTGAAAGGCATCTGCAGCCACAGCAAATCTGATATTTCAGAATTCCTAAAGACTTCTTCCCCAGATCACCTATTCCCTGCCACCTTGTAGGGAGAAAAGTTTCTTTTCTGACAGTTTATTGATTTCAAGAAGTGCTGGAGTGTCAGTGCTTCAGGCGACTGGATTTTTCAGAACTCAATTGTATATTTGGAAAAGTAAGCAGTGTTACCCAATTGGAGCATTGCACTGACCTCCAGAGAAGAGCTTGACATCTCAAGTGTCTCCTAATATTGATTTTCTTTTAACCTTCTCCCTTCTAAAGAAACTCAGTGACAGGTTGCAAATCTGGAGCAGTTTAGGGAAAGGTTTCTTGAAGCTTAACAAAGTTGTCATTTTCAATACACTCCATGATTTTCTTTTCTTTCTTTCTTTTCTTTTCTTTTTTCTTTTTTTTTTTTTTTTTTTTAGCTCTTGCATGTGATTTGAGGGGAGGCTCAACAATTCCACACACCCTGGCAGCAGGGCCAATATCAATATTTTAAAAAGAAATACAAAAGAGACAGGTGACCTCCTGACCCCAGGAAACAGGCCTGCAAAACTGCAAGTATCCACTACACCATGCCCAGGGACATTTTCTTCTTCCAAATGAACCACAATAATCATACATGTGTAGCCTGGAAAACCCAATTTTATATCCACAAGCAAGAACATCAAAAGTCTACTCAAAAGCATATATATAAACAACCAACAAGTACTGAAATTGCCTGCACTTGATGGGAATTGCAAAATCATGCCCAGCTCTCTCAGCCCTTAAACTACTACTGTCAAATTAGGGTAGCAATTTTTCCCTACTAGAAAATTCACAACCGGTTAGCTTCCCCACCCCCCATTGCCAGCGCTTCGCCTTTCACTGAAATGAATAAATAACCGTGGACTTTTTTTTTCCATCCTCTGGGAGCTGTTTGGTGTCCCCTGAGGACGAAACTAAATGAGAAAAATGACGCTGTTAATAATGTCGCTGCTGAAATGCCTGTACTCGACTGTTTATAAAAAATACCAACCCACTAAATGTGCCTACATTTCGGGCACATTTACAAGCCACCACTGAATCTGAACACGGACTGGCCAGATTCCTCCATTAAGGTTAGCTGGTTTCCACTTCTCTACAGAAAGGAGGCCAGTTCATCAACAGAGATCCCCAACTCCTGAAGACATTTGCTTTCTGGGATTACAAAGTCAGCAGTTGCCCTGTAATTTTTGCATGATTTATTTTAAACTTTGAAAATCACGGTAATAGTTGCCTTGTTTCACTCACAGTTCTTCAAAAGTTACGTACACTTTTTCACACACAGTCTTCTTTGCTGATCCTGAGAGAGTTGTAGCTATTGTCCTCTTTCAAAATAGCTGAACTTTAATGTAAAACTATGCTATCATTTTATTTCTAAAATGTAAATCGGCTTTTGTCACCCAGTTACATGTGCCTTTGGGACAGGAAAATGGATCGGTTTTAAAGAGCTGTTTAGAAAGCTTCACCATCCAAAATGCCCAAGTAATCTTTATATTCTGTATTAAAAAGTGTAGAAAGGGCATTGCAAACCGACTCAAACTTTCTGCACCCCTTTCTTTACTTCTTTCCTTGAAAACTGCCATTCTGCTTTAAAATTAAAACAATGCATAACCACGGGACTGTGCATTTTAACATACAAAGTAAAATTTAGCAAACAGTTGCACAATGACGAAGACAGAAGACAAACACTTGGGCCTATACAAAATATATATTCAAGTAAACTTTATCTGAAATATTTTTACAACACACAGTAAGTTAATAAACTCCAAAGCAATAATATCGCCAAATTGTGTGATGTCATAGGCTCCAAAAGCAACGTTACAGATGTTCGTGACATCACATTTACTCATAATTATGCTGCTGCTCAGTCTGACCATCTTGAAATTAAATGGATGCCTATGTCTGCTAAAGAATAAAAGGAATTTATTTTGGACATCAAACAATGAAACTGTCACCATTTATTGTATGAAACACTCAGCTAATCAATTTCCTATTAAAACAGCTTTCAACAATACTCAGCTTTAAAATTCATCAGGGCCAGTAAAAACCTTTTCCCAGTGCACAAGAATGCAGTGCCAACCACGGACGATAATTACCCTTCTAATACTTTTATTGCCCAAGCACTTTTTCCTGTGCTCTCCATCAGTTAGGCAGGAATCTGCAGTATATTGTATCAGTGAGTTGGAGCGCTTGACCTTTGCCCACATATGATTTAATAGGGACTTTTCAGCGCTGGAGCTTTCTCCATCTCTCATACCATTAAATGAAAACATCAAACCCCAAATGTAAAACTGGAAACCACAACGTTTTGTGTTTCACAACTCTTCGCAGCTTTTACTTAGGCTGCTTAAAGGTCAGCTTCTTTGCCTCACAGTGCTCGCCCCCGTACAGTAAATGCACTCAGAAGTCACACTAATGCTGATTTTGATTCAGTCTTGAACTCCCCAGTCAGATACACACATGCACCCTGCTTATTTACACGTGCATTCTTTTCTAACCACATAAGCATGCGTGTATGACTTTCTGGATTTATTCCATTTTAGGGCTGATTTAAATATCTGTCGAAGTATGGGTTCAAAAGTTAACTTTTTCCCGCCCGTTGGAAAGTTAAAATTACAAAGGATGGTGCTATAGGATCCCTTCTAAGAAAGGTAGAGTTAATCTTGTGTATTTTGGCGCCTTTTCCCTGCCAGCTACTGTACTTGGGGGGTGAGGGTGGGGGTAGGGGTGTTGGAGATCTTGTCTGTCCCGTCTCAAGTTCAATGGCAGTTCTTCTAACCAGAGGAGAAGATGGCCATGTTCACAGCACTAATAATAATTCCAATCACGCCACTTCGGCATCTTGTGTCAAAGTCGAAACTGGCTTCCCCGCCCCCTTCAACCTGAAAGCTGCCAAGTCCTCACACACTCCGCATTCAACCACAACTTAATGGATGGGATATTGTGCATTAAAATGTGTCCCAGACATACTGGCGGAGAGAGGACAAGGGAAAAGGGAGACAGACACACAGACACACACACACACACACACACACACACACACACACACACACACACACACACACACACACACAAGACGTAGACGAAGGAAAGGAAACTACAGAACGAACAAACGACGACGAAGGAAGAAAAGAAAAAGTATAGACGAGGAGGAACGGGTAAAAAC